GTTGGGCACTTATGATTTCTGCCTGTCCACTTTTCACCACAAGTGAAACACAAATTGTTGGCACGCCTATAAGCCTTCAAGGATGTCAACTTGTCAGAAGAAGCACTATTCTGAGACAGCTCTGCTGGTTTGGGCTTCTCTTTCTTCAACTTCTGTTTCTCTGAAGTCATACCATATTTTGACTAAATTTTGCCTGAATCTCTATAATCAGACTTGTATTGAGATTTTAGTCATGTCAACTCCAATTCAGCCTCATGTAATAGAGCTAAGGTACTAGCTGCTTCTAGATTTGGTGGCCCATGCAATGTGATTGGTGCCCTGATCTCTTCCTTCAGACAAAGTACACATCATCATAAGTTGGATTATACAGAAGTATACTGTGAGCAAGCTGGTCAAACTTATCCCGATAATCAGCTACAGATCTTGTCAAGTTGTTTCATGTGCAAGGGATATTGATCCTTATCAAAATGAGCATAAACTGCAGTATGCATTGCTTCCCAAGACTGAAATCGACCCTTCAACTGAACAATTTGCAGCCAAAGTGCAGTTGTGCCCATGAAATTCAGAGTGGCAAATCTAGTCTTCATCATCTCAGAAACTCCATAAATCTCGAAGTAGATCTCGCATTGCTCCCGCCATAGCCTCAGGTTGCCGCCGTCAAATTTTGGAAAATCCATTTTCGACGTGGAACCCGCACGAGATATATGAGAATGTGAACTAGACGAATCATCAACAAGATAAACAGAGGGGCTGGGGTGCATACCCGAGTGGTTAATCGGCGGAGGTTGGATCCCATAATTGGGCCAAGAACCCCTCGGCCCATGTTGTGCCCGTTGGGCGGCTTCGCCGATGAAGCAGAAGAATGCGCCCCAGGTGATGGGGCGATTGAGGTCGACGCCGCCAGGAATCCAGCCCATCGGTGGGGGAGGTGGCGGTGGGGGTGGCGGTGGAGTCGGGACCTTCTCCAGGTGGGTGATCCGCGCCGCTGTCTCCGTCGTCTTGGTGAGCAGCGACCCTAACGATTTGTCGGTGGTGGTTCTCGAAGCCATTCATCTTGTCCAGCATCTGCTTTGCATCATCAACTAGAACCCCTTGAACTCCTCCGCTAAGTTCTCGACGTTGCTCGCCATCTTCGCTTGCATCGATGGAGGTTTCTTCTTCGGTGCCGTCCGGATCTAGTGGGGAATGGGGAAAAATTTTCCGTCGAGGAAAGATGGCTCTTGATACCAATTTGTCACGAACTAGGTAACTAGGAATTGAGATGGATGGAATTTGGGGGAGAAATCAGTAGCGGAGGGGCTCGGAAACAAGAACAGGATAGGTTGAGGAGCAAGAACTCGAGAAGGGAGATAACCGGAGGGGGGAACGGTTACGTTTTCAGTTATTCGATAAAACGATTCAGTTCATTACAATCGGCTTATATTGCCGACGCGCTGCACCGACACCCACACACCTGGCCCGAGCCCCTACAGCCTATTGGGCCAAGCCCACATCACCGAATGACTTCTAACACTTCTTCCTGCTCATTAGTTCACTCATCAGCCACGCTTACGCCTTTCTCTTCCCTTCTATTAGTAGTTTTCTGACAGCTTTTAATATACACTTAGTTATACACTATGTCTATCTAGATGTATAGTAAAAGATATCTATATAACTTAGAAAGGAAGGATTATAACTTATTTACAAAGTTGTAGCTACATGCCACAATAGCCACTCACACTTGTAGAGGAGACCAAACCACAAGAAAGTCCCACGTACCGATTACTAATTTGGAGTGACTTGAGAACACTTTGAATAATAAATCGGTCGTAGTATATATTAAATTAAATATGCCCCTAACATAAATGAAATGTGCGGGGAAATAAATTGTGTCAGGTTACTATCAGCTTGCCACAAGCTCAAATCATGATGTTGTATCTCTACTACAACACGGGCAGTTTAGCTACAACTACAACCCTACCAACTGTAGCGGGAGGCCGTTGGCAGCTTGAGCACACTGCGATCTATTGGCAACAATAATGTCGCTTCGTGCCAATACGACTAAAAGGTGCAATAGGCCTGCCTGACCACTTTCGGCTTTTGCCCTCTTGTGGATGAACAAGTTTTATCCTGTACCAGCGATAGCCGGGCCTTGTTTAGATCGGTTTGGAATCAGTATTTGACACTGTAGTACTTTCGTTTATATTTGACAATTATTGTCTAATTATGGTCTAACTAGGCTTAAAAGATTCGTCTTATAATTTATAATTAAACTGTATAATTAGTTATTTTTTTATCTACATTTAATACTCCATGCATGTGTTCAAAGATTTGATGTGATGAAGAGAGTGAAAAAACTTGCAATCTAAACAAGGCCCCGATAGCTGATGCGTTCCGTTGGTCCATCTCATCAGTCACCTGCCATCGCCATGCATCCTGTCCGGCCGCCGGCGCACTGACGCGACCCGTCAGGCCATCCACCGTCCATCGGGCTACTTCCCTCAACGGTGCCATCATCGTGCAGCAGTGGTCACACGCGAGCTTTCGCATCGGACATGCACTCACCGTCGCGTCGTTTGATCTTTACCTGATCAAGATCAACGCATCTCGCCCATCTCATCAGCAGCTCTGCACTTTGGTTGCATGGACTAGAGATCCAGTGGGCGTAATCCGCATCCGCCCATGGCCTCTATCTCATCTCATCAGTCATCATGGATGGCAGGTCAGCAGCAGGTAGTACAAGGCAGCAGCAGCCCAACAAAGGACGACCGATCCACCGGATCGCACGGCGACGATCCCGGCGATGTGCACGCATCTGCTGTTGCAGGACAGCAGGAGGGGAGGGAGTCAGGGAGATAGGAGTACTAGTACCTGCCTACTTGCACTCTCGCACGTACAGCAACTGGATTGCAGCCATGATGATGGTGGACGAGGCTGTACGAAAAGAAGCATGGATCAGGCAGCCTGCTGCAGTGCAGGGCCTTGCCTGCTGGTAGTGCGATGCTGCCCAGGACACGGGCGCTTTCGCATGCATGCCCGGCTGGAACGAGAGCGCCGCCTACTCTTGGTTCTCTTCTCCGCATGCACCTTGCCGGATGCGGCCTCGGCAGGCCCTCGTGCTCCTCGCCTCGCGCACGAACGACCACCCGATCGACTCAGCTACACACTACACAAGGCTCCTCATCAAGCAAGGCTAGCTAGCTCTCACCACCGGCACTACTGCACTGCACTGCACTACACGACCATAAAGCACACGGAAAGCGGCGTGCCGGCGTCCCATCTTGCCATGCCACTGCCGCCTTGGCGCCGCCGGCCGGCCGTCCCAGGATATTTTCGCAAGTCACGGGGCTAGCTAGCTCCTCCGGGGGGCGATCAGACACACACGGTTCCGGCTTTTAGCCCTGCTGCCCCCTTTCGTCGCAGCGGCGTGCCCCTGTCGTTGTTAGCGTGAATAATTTATTGACGGGATAGGGTTGATCCGTAACACAACGGTGGGTCGGGTTGGGAAAAAGATATATGGTGATTTTTTTTCTGCTGCCGCTAGTAGTGATATGGATGATCCAGTTGGTGTGTGCGCGCCACGGCAGACGAAGCCGGCCGGGAACCATGCACGAGGAGAGCACGACGACGAGTCGACCACGACGCATCTATGATCTATCTGGACAAAAGCCTTTGCCGAAGCCCGAAAATATATGGTTCTTGATTCCGATCCATCCGGCGGCGTATTGCATGCGTTGCGTGTCGTATTAGACCGTGCTGAGCCCCGTCGTCCGTCGTCGTCTCTTGGACAGCTCCCGTTTTGTAGGCACAACGGACAGCGACCTCGATCGAACGCCCGTCCACATGTACATGTACATGTACACATGCGTGGTACCTATGCCGATTCATTGATGAGTCAGCGGAGATGGATCGGAGGTCAGAATTGTTCGTCTGAATGCATTGACCCTGGTCCACGGCGGAATAGGCACAGGATACGGCCTCGTTTAGAATGGGGTTAGGAATCAGTATTTAGTATTGTAACACTTTCGTTTGTATTTAACAATTATTGTCCAATCATGGCATAACTAGGCTCAAAAGATTCGTCTCGTAATTTACAATCAAACTGTGTAATTAGTTATTTTTTTATCTACATTTAATACTCCATGCATGTGTCTAAAGATTTGATGTGATGGAGAGAGAGTGAAAAAACTTGGAATCTAAACAAGGCCTAGATTTGCCCTGTTCGCTTGGATGATAAGTTATGGCTGAAAGTACTGTTGGCTGATTTGTTGTGAGAGAAAAATATTGTTCGTTGACTGAAAAAGTACCGCTTATAAACTAAGCGAACAGGACGAATTGTTTACGCCTACATGTCTACCATGACTGTTACAGATTCAAACGCTAGCCAGCGACCGAATCTTTTAGACTACACGCTGAGAACGAAGACCAGATCGTCCCGTTCCGTCGGCACGCGGGTCGCCGGCTGCCGGGGACTCACTGCAGTCAGCAGGTATACAATATTGTTAGAGCCAAGTATTTTATGGTTTTGCTCAAACTTTAATCAAGTTCCAAAGATTCCTACTGTAATTTGTGGCCTTGGCGCTCATTCGTTGTGGCCACTTTGCAATCTGCCCGTCAGTTTGGGGGCTTGTTGGCTGCCCCACTGGGCACCGGCTGACGGCGGGCGCCCTCATCAGTCGCCCACTACGGCTGGCGGTGGCGCGGTAGCCTCCGCCCTCTCGCCAACCTTAAAAGGGACGGCCCGGGCGCTTTCAAATTTTATAAACCACACCCATCGCACTTGCCACCCCCGCGACCGCGAGCGCGGTCGCCAACCTCGCCGAGCCACACGCCGCACGGCTGGCAGCGACGCCCGGGCCCCGGCCGCCTAGCTTGACCACACACACGAGCGCTAGCGACGACGCTCCTTCTGCTTCTCCCGTCGTCGGTCGTCCCATGCCCCTCTGCCATATATAGCGTGTGCCAGCGGTGTGTCTGCGCGTGCGCGTGCGGTTGGCGCCGGCGAGGAAGGAGGAACGACAATGGCAGCGCAGGAGACCGCCGCGGGCGGCGGCGGCGGGATCCCGCAGCAGGTGGTGACGCGGTGGCGGTACGGGGACGTGGGCGACAGCAACTTCGCGGTGCACGGGCGCGCGGTGCCGCTGCTGGTGGGCCTGCTGTGCGCCGTCGTCGTCTTCGTCGCGCTCTGCCTGTACCTCCGCTGGAGGTGCCACCGCTACGCGCCCGCCGACGACCCGGAGGCGGCGGACGCCTCCTCGTCCTCGTCCTCGGCGGCGGCGGCCGCGGCAGCATCGCTACCCGGCCTCGACGCCGACGCCATCCACGGGCTGCCCGTCAAGCTGTACCGCACGCCCAAAACGTCGGCGCCGCCGCGTATCCCCGGGGAGGCCGAGGCCGAGGCCGACGACGACCAGGCGGCGGAGGCGCTGTGCTCCATCTGCATCAGCGCGCTGGTGGCCGGAGAGAAGGTGAAGGAGCTCCCGCCGTGTGGCCACTGCTTCCACCCGGACTGCGTCGACGCCTGGCTCCGGTCCCAGCCCAGCTGCCCGCTCTGCCGTTGCCTCCTCGCCGCCGCCAAGGCTGATGCCAACGACGCCGTGTGAGTGTCAATGGCAGGCACGCACTTCGCATCCTCACCTCACATGACAAGAGGGCCCCAGCTACCAGCGTCCCCCGAGACCCGGCCTTTTAATCAGCGCGCGCATTAGTTAATGGTGATGGTGGCGGCCGCCAAGACCGCGTCAGATCTACTCGTTGTGAGTGCGCTTGTAAAGACTAAAGAAGCCTTGGTTTATTAGGGCCTGATCACCAATGGCGTCGCAAAATGCAGTGGCGTACTGGCGTGTCGTGCCCCCTGCCCTCCGAGGAGTTGTTTGGAGGCCGGCGTGGGATCACCTGACCAAGCCGGGGAGGCTTTTGTTTGTAACTTTCTCTGTGGCCAAGACTCTCCAACCAGTGCAGGGGGAAAGTGGTGTAAGATGTACATAGCTTTTGAGAGAGAATTTAGCGTATGCGGTGGTGGTGCAGGTAGAATCTAACAACGTTAGCGTAAGGGCACTCAGAGCGCATAAATCATCATAGTTTCTATGGGCATTAATTGTGCTACCATTTAAATATTTTGCTGATGTGGTAAGGTGGTTATTGAAGAGAGAGAGTAAAAATCATAGAAATCAGATCTAAGTTAGAAACCATGTCTATACGAGAACCAAGATATGAAAGGATATGATGGGTAAAGAATGGAGAGAGGATGCATGTGATTAGATAAAAAATTATTCTGTATAAACTATTCATTAGGACCGTGATTTCTACGTGTCGTGTCTATAAAAATTAATAGGCATAGTAACTATATATGGTTTTTAGCATTGACACTACCCTAACAAACAGCACTGACACAGACAAAGACGCCTTTAATTACGAAAGCTAGCAGTAAGTTCCCTAGTACTAGTGTACTACTACTCGATGTTTGTTGTGCCTTTTTGTTTTGATTCCACAGAGCACAGTCCATACAGCCATACAGGTACACTTTCGTAAAAAGTGGCATATGCAAATATCACTGTCGTACAAGAACTAAATATACTAGCCGTATTGTTAAAGCATATTAATACATCAAATTATGGTCTAGCGAGGTGGAGGGATGAACATATTTTTAAAAAAAAGTCTATCACTTACACAACCATATATTTTATATAGTTTTAACATATATATTTTTTGTATCATAGAATTAAGATCCAACAGCCTCCACTCTTCATCTACCTTAGATCATCAAATCATAATTTTTTTTTCTATAGAAGAACAAATCACACGTCCACCGCCACCGGGGCGAGCTCGCCGGTCACCGGTGCCGGCGCCGCTCATCGTCCGCATCGTCATCGTCCATTCAGGCCGCAACAACCTGCAGGCCACCCAGGCAGAGCACGCGAGACCGGCCTGGAAAGCAAGGATGACACGAGAAGGAGACGACTGTTTCCAGCTGCCCTCGTCGGGCGTCGTGTATGTTCAGAAGAAAGCTCTTATATCGACTAGACGGTCACGGAACATGCGTCGCTGTGCGTACAGTAAGCAGCCCACGAGACGGCGGCGGTCAACCAGGGACGCCAAATTGATTTCCTCAACATAACTTGCGTGCCGTGAAAAGTATCAAACGTCTTATGACTGCAAAATAAAATAAAAACGTAAAAAAGAAACGAGAAGGAGAACGCATCCGGTGAGAAAGAGATAAAAAAAAATCAATGTATTTTTTATGCTAAAACACATGTGTGTTGTATAACATTTCTGAAAAAAAAAATACATTGACATCGAGATTTTGTACTCTTGATGGTGTTGTTCTTGGTCAAGGTTTAGGGTACAGTACAGCTCCTACAATTTTTGGAGTTGGGTGTTCCTAATTCAAGAAATATCTAAAGCTATAGAGGTCTGGACACATTTAAACAAGTTGCCTGATTGAGATGTTTTCTTTCTTTCTTTTCCGACAAAAGCAAAAGCTTTGCCGACTACAATTTCATTACAAGGAAGAAAATAGTTCAACTGGGTCAACTGCAGTAAACGAAAAGAAAGGCACAACTGAAAGGCCCAAAACAACACAAGTAATAAAGTCTAAAGACCACACAACTCGGCAAATTAACAGGGCAGCGCACAAAGGTCGTCCGAGATTGCGGCACACTGAAAAGTAATCCTCGAAATGTTTGTTCTTCTTCAAACACTAATAAGGGCCAGGCAGAGACCAACGCCGGAAAAAAACATGCAAAGCCAGGCAGGGGCACCAACTTTAGAACGCTGAATTCCCATTGGGAGGATTCTTCGATGATGATGTGTGCCACCTGTATGGGTTCCAGATAGTTGCTGTAGATACTATTTCAATTGGAAAACTCTTCTATTTCTTTGGTTCTAAATACGCGACCAGAAATACATCACGAAGCCATCAAACCGTCTATGCAGATTTTGAAATAGAGATTTTTCTTCAACATCTTCTTCACTATTGTTTCTTTTCTATTCTTTTTTTTGTTTCTTTTCTATTCTAGTACAAGATTTTAAAAGAGTTTCTAGGTTATTGGTTTTGACATAGAACCCCTTCCAACTAAACTGTGCAATTAGTTAACTAAATTTTTTGCAAACGGCTAAAAATTGATGTGATGGAGAAAGAGTGAAAAAACTTGAAATTTTGAGGGTATCTAAACAAGGCCCTAGTACAAGATTTTAAAAGAGTTTCTAGGTTATTGGTTTTGACATAGAACCCCTACAACTAAGTTTTTTTTTGGAGCGAACCCCTACAACTAAGTGAAAAGGCGGCTAGTGCTTAGTTGCAATTATAGAAAGCTTTCATGTCTCCACCTACGTTCTAAAATGGGCTTGCATCCTTGGAGTAAGACGGCGGCCCATCGTGTCTGGTGGGCTTGTTTATGGCAAAAAAAAAGGAGGATAAAGGGATGTGTAGTAGTTTTATTAAAAAAAACAATGGCCATGATATCAGATTTATTTTCTTAAAAAATTGATGTACTTTTTGTAGTGGTAGCAACTAGCAACTAGTACTACGAGTAGTAATAGATAAGGTTTCAGAGACAACATGTTAAAACCTTAATTGTCAAGATTTTTTTTGAGGAATTAATTAATTGCCAAGATTTTTCATGGCTGTCACAGGCACAAGGTACGTGCACATCTGCACATGACGAAGGCATGAAGCAACTTTATTAGACAGCACTACTACCACTTGCAGGTTCTCGAAGCAACTTGGATTCTGAATGGAGTTCGAGATGTCTTATATACTGGCTTGATCTTGACCCTTGGAGTTATCACGAACAGTGGCGCCACACAGCAGCACTTGACCAATTCTTTTATGGTCTCGGCTTGATTAGTTTTCACGCATGCATTCAACTTCATGTCCATCATCATGCCGTCTCCTGCTTTCCCCCAACTGAGACATTCGTTCTGATCCAAGAAAGGAGTTGGAAGGGCAAACTACAAACTAGTAGAAGGTAGCATAGCAGCTACTCTGCCGAAGATATTCTTTCTCTCTCTCTTTTTTTGTGAACAGGAGATATTCTCTCTCTGGCGAAAAAGGTGAGAGATATCAAACCTGATGTTCAGTCGTGCTCCTTATCTGCCCACAGTGCACTAGCAGCACGCAGTATTTAAATTCAGCCTGCTGGATGTCATGCGTGTGGATTTGAAAAAAGGAGACCGCTCAGGATAGACAGGATGGGGTTATCGCTAACCAATCATGATCTCCCAGTGGCTCCAGTGCAGGTGCACCCAGCTGATCGCTTTTGATGAGAGCCAGGGTTTGCTTAGGCCAGTGTAGTGCAGCGGCCGTCGGCCGGCGCCTGGAAATTTCCCCAGGCACGCCAGAAAAACGAGAAACCAGACCAACGTACCCAAATTCGAGTAGAATTTTTAAAGAGAAATCCGGATCCAGGTGGTCGGGATGCGTAACCATGCTCACTTCCGAGTTGACGTTCGAAAACTATTGGAGATTTTTAGGAGCCGGAAGACACGCCGCGACGATCGCCATGTTGTTGCCCGAGCCTCTGCCTCTGCCTCTGCCTCTGCCTCGGTGACCGCCAGCCACCACGCACCCTTGCCGCTCGTCACCACACCAGTCATCACTCATGAGTCATCACCACACGACCGAGCGCACAGGCGGCGCGGCGCGGACGCAGCAGCATTGTGGAATGGGCTAGATTGTGGGCCAGGTTATACCGTTGTAGCCCATTTATTGGCCTTCTTAGCTCACATGGGCTTCTGACTCGGCCGTCAGCACGGGCAGCACTTTCCTGCCCACAAAACGACTTGGGTCTTTCTCGACCAGGTTCTGAATGTTTCAGGTCCAGTCGGCTACATGAGAACCCATATGGACAATATGCTCCTAGGCCTTGATTTAGATTGTAAGTTTTTTCACTCTCTCTCCATCATATCAAATCTTTGGACATATGTATGGAGTATTAAATGTAGATAAAAAATAACTAATTACACAGTTTGATTGTAAATTACGAGACGAATCTTTTGAGTCTAGTTAGGCCATGATTGGACAATAATTGTCAAATACAAACGAAAAGTGCTACAGTGCCAAATACTGATTTCTAACCCCAATCTAAACAAGTCCCTACATTGCAAACAGGACCAAAGCGTTTTCGTGGCACCGTCTCCCTATGCTACAGATCAGAGTCAGTCACATAGTACACCCTTGACAGCACACACAGCTACAAATCTACGTAATCATCTTGCCGGTACGGTACATGACGCAAGAGAAAAGGTTGCCGAACAACCGTTTGCACATACACCTACAACTACAAGGCCACAAAAGACCTATTCACTGCATTTTGTTAGCACGGACATCGCTGGATATATATTGCCATCTTTAGATTCTTGGATTCTTGAGGTCAGAGCACATCACACCTCCAGTTGCTTCCGTTAATCCATCAGCGGCGTTGTAGTCTAAAACAAAGGAAGTTACTTTCCCAAGATAAATAATCATATTTTCGTGAAGGGCAACTTTTGCTACGAGACCATATCCAAAATATGACAATAAAAAAAACTGTAACAAGACGTCTAAAAAAAAAGAGGCTGCAATCACTCAAAACTTCGCAGCTACTCATCCGACTATGAGGCT